TAAATGACCAGGAACTCGAGGCATCGGCGCGAGTGCAGCAGTCCTAGCAGTTCTAGAATCAGCTGTCGCCAAACACGCAACCACCGATGGACTTCCTTCATGTTACCTCATGAATGGCCAATCTGATCCATATCACGTCACCAAGTGATCATAGAGTAACCCTACCTGCCAGGAACCGACCGGCTGGGAAGCTCGGGGTAATAAGGCGGCGAGGGCGGGCGAACAATGTCCGTCGCCGTCAACAATTGGATGATGCCAAGCCTGGGCTCGACTAACACTTCTTGATCTCATGAAATCCGGGGTAGCAACCTCCGCCCTCCCCAAATAGGAAGTTACGCAAAGACATTCGATCAGTGTTAGTGACGTGATGATGGGTGAGTTCGAGTGATGTACTATCATATATAAGTCCATACGAACACATCATGTCACAATGATGTTAGACTTTTGGCTCACCAGCTGACTGACTTTTCCTGTCTGCTCTGCTCCTCTGTCTGAGAGACAATTTTATCAAGATGCATCAAGCCCACTTCCTTTCGTTCCTCTCAATGCTCACCACCGGCGTCTCAGCAGCCCCCGCCGGCAATGGCAAAGTTCCCAAGGGCTTCGTCACTACCGAGGGTGACCACTTCAAGCTCGACGGCAAGGATTTCTACTTTGCCGGTAGTAATGCTTACTACTTCCCTTTCAACGTTCGTCGTCGTCGTACCTTACCTTGATCATTCACCCACCTCATTCACCCACGCTAACTTTATCTGTTCTGTGTAGGACCAACCCGACATCGAAAAAGGCATGACCGCCGCCCGCGCCGCCGGCCTCACCGTCTTTCGCACCTGGGGATTCAACGACAAAAACCGCACCTACATCCCGGACGGTCTACCGCAGTACGGCAACGAAGGCGCCGGCGACCCCACCAACACCGTCTTCCAGTGGTTTGAGGCAGACGGCACACAAACCATTGACGTCTCCCCCTTTGACAAGGTCGTCGACTCCGCCTCGAAAACAGGAATCAAACTCATCGTCGCGTTGACCAACAATTGGGCTGATTATGGCGGGATGGATGTCTACACTGTTAATTTGGGCGGGAAGTACCATGATGACTTTTACACGGTACCGAAAGTCAAAGAGGCGTTTAAGAGGTACGTGAAGGCGATGGTGACGCGGTATCGAGACTCAGAGGCGATATTGGCGTGGGAATTGGCGAATGAGGCTAGGTGTGGTGCGGATGAGAAGAGGAATTTGCCCAGGAGCGAGAAGGGGTGTACGACGGAGACGGTGACGGGGTGGATTGAGGAGATGAGTGCGTATGTGAAGAGTTTGGATGGGAATCATTTGGTGACGTGGGGTGGGGAGGGGGGGTTTAATAGGATTGGGGGGGATGGGTTTTATAATGGGGCGGATGGAGGGGATTTTGATAGGGAGTTGGGGTTGAGGAATGTGGATTTTGGGACGATGCATTTGTATCCTGATGTGAGTTTTTTTTGTTTCCCTCTGCCCGCCCTCTAAAGGCTATTTTATTACACTGAATAGGAGGAGGAACTGACAATGTCAATCGACAGTGGTGGTCAAAGAGCGTCGAGTGGTCCAACCAATGGATCCGCGACCACGCCGCCTCGGGCCGTGCCGCCGGGAAGCCCGTTGTGCTCGAGGAGTACGGGTGGATGACTGACAAGGGCCGTCTGGACCAGCTCGGTCAGGTCAAGAACGAGACCAGACTCGAGGTCATTGGCGGATGGCAGAAGATTGCCATCCAGGAGAAGTTGGCCGGCGACTTGTACTGGCAGTTTGGCTATGGCGGGTATTCGTACGGACGCAATCATGATGATTCGTTCACCATCTACTTGGAAGATGACGAGGCCAAGGAGTTGGTGTACAAGCATGCCGAGGAGGTGCAGAAGTTGAATGGGCGAGGGCACTAGTTGTATGGAGAGTGACAGGGGCTTGAGGATTATTTCTTTTCTCATTTCTCTGAGGAACGATCTTTTCGTTTCTTTTTCATTTCATCTGTCCCTTAGCGCAGTTTCATTTCAGCTTTGTGATGATGGTCATGCCTGGAGGCGACATGAAGCCAAGCCAGGCTGAGGCCGTATAGTTGGCGACGATCAGTATGCGCGGGCGTCGAAATAAGCGTAATGCCATCAACACCAAGAAGCCAAGAAGTTACAGATTGAGGGGTTTGTACAAGCATCCAAGCCGGGAGATCACTTGGTTTTGCGGCTGAGCATCGGACTTTTGTTGTCAATGTCCCGTTTGGTTGTCTTGGCTAGCTCTTTATGGGAGACTGAGCTCGGCAATCTGAAGACATAACTTGTCTGGTGAACTATAAGAAGAGAAGCTGGTCTAGATAATTTGCATGCACAACCAAAGACACATCTTGGCCTCCCCATCGTGCGACTTCAAACGGCAACGCGCAACTCGAACATCATCATACCCTCACCTACCAGCAAAAATGCAACTCACCAAAATCCTCATCCTCTTCGGCATAACAGCAGCGGCAGCCTCGCCAGCAATGGCGGCTTACACCGGTCCCTGTTCGGTAACCCAATGCGGAGCCTCCGGGGTAGCCTGTCCGCGAGGATACCTGTGCGTGCCTTGGCCTTCGTTCGATCCCGCACTGAGAGAGGGGTGTACGTGTAGTTATGCCTAGACAAGTGGATTTGAGTAAGGTACCGTGACCTCTACTTTTACCGGTGAGTCTGAAATCACCTATCATCTTTGTATAGATATTTTTGGGAGGTGCTGACTGAATGATAGATAAATGTTAGGGCGGTCGGCGACGAGTCCACCACACACTGACCGCGAGTCTGCCCCGGGGAAGACTAGGAATGACAGTCAAGACCGGAATGATGCTTCATATTGGTTCGTTATCAGAGAAGATCAGGCCTGTAACCCGGATTCGTTTCATGCAATTTTTCCCAGTCAAACAGTCAAACCTGAATCATGTTTTTCTTGTACCCAGCCTCAAAAATCCGATCAAGTCACCATCAAACTTCCAAAAGTTCTAGTGTAGTGTCCTGTCCGACGAGTGCAAGCTATGACACATCCATCCGGACCCCCGATCCAGAAAAGATAATGTAAGCGAGCTTTCCCCCGGTACGTGGGTCCCAAAAACGAACGGATCTGATAACTCTAAACAGCCGGCGGGTCCGGGTCTTCGGTCCCAAGGACCACCGACAACGCCAACAAGGAATATCGCTGGACAAAGTTTTCCCACTACGCATCCACACCACCAACACCGAACCATAAGATCTCGTATCCAGTGAATGCACTAGTGAAGGGCATCTGATAAGATCTAGCTCGGCCCAGGGACAAATTACTGTAGGAATGGTATCGTGAGCATGTAGTGTACACTAATCACTCATCCCAGATCGGATCACGGTTCGACATTGCGGTGTTTTGATCGTAGCTTTTTTAGGTTGCCGTCGTCTCGTGTGAACAACTGATCGACATTCTCATCGCCAGATTCAGAACCCATGAGATGATGGACAACACGTGGGTGCCACGCTGCCGGACCGGATCGTACATATCCAAGATCGTGGTTCGCGGTGATCATCAACCTTGATGATCCAAACACCTCTTTTGACTATACTTAGCTTGCTGGATAGAAGCTTCACTTGTCTTTCACTTACTCCAGGACCACGCTCTAATCGAGCTTATGGTAGTATGTAGCTCGTTCCCTGGACACAAACTCCTCCTCGCACACCGGATGAACTCGGACTGGAGGGTCAAAAGTCGTCATGTGGAGAAAGAAGGCTTCGAGACCAGACCAGGTCGTCCGGACCCAAGTATGGTACCATGCTGGCTTACTTGTATACTCCTTCCAGCTAAATCGACTGCCCCCCCAATCTTTTTCGACTGTCTCTAACCGCTTCTGGTAGGCAGTCGAGGACGGGAGGCAGTCCCGCCACCCCCCGACTTGCTTGTTTCTAGTTCATGTCAGCCACTACTAAATTACCCGCTGATGAACATCTGATAAAAACCTTTGCAGCGGGCAACCACACGCAGTACTTCTACCTTCTTAACGTTACCCTATATAGATAGGGAATTAATTATCGAGTTTAAAAGTATTTGCCCTAATTTATATTATTATTAGTATAAATTCCAAGCCTCTCCCGTATATCGTATAGCTAGTGAGTAGATCTCGGGTATTACATGTGTATAGCTGTGTGAGGTACATATCTGTGGCTAGGTTTCTTGATTATGCTCTACTGTAGGTGTTTTAGCGGGGATCGACATCGCTAAGAAACTTGGTAAGAGACTGCCTCCTTGACTGCCTACCAGAAGCGGTTAGAGACAGTCGAAAAAGATTGGGGGGCAGTCGATTTAGCTGGAAGGTGTATACTCGCCGGCATCGCCCAGGTTAGCTAGGCCAGGCCACCGAAGCCAGCGCATTCCACGATGCCACGCACGGTTCCGTATTCACCATCTCGCGTGTTCTCGTCTCCTTCTGGGTACATACCTCACTTTGCTGCTGGGGGGAACCCAGCAAACTCGTTAAACTTTTTCTAGTGTAGTGTGGTCATGGTCTTGTTGGCTTGCGGCTGCCGGAGTGGCCGAACGGACCCCATCGGCAAGTGATTTTGATCTTATCAGATCATCTGATCATCAGATAAAAAACGCACACGCACATGCGATCTCGGGTCTATTTAAGAGGAAGTGGTGAACCGTCTTGCTCCCTTCCTTCTCTTATTGAAAGCTCAATATATAGACCTTATCAGATCCTTCTTCCCTCTTTCCTTTTTTTCCTTCCATTCAACCACCCATCCATTCCATTTCTTACTATCCCAAACCACCACCCCCAAAATGGTCGTCGCCGTCCTCCCCGCCCTCATCCCCGACATCCGTCGCGTGTACGAGTCCTACTTCACCGCCTTCAAGGGCGAGCGCATGGGCGAAATCATGCTCCAGATCCTTTTTCCCGGCATCGACACGGACGCACCCGACTTCCGCGCCGCCCACGCCAAGGGCACCCTCGAGTACTGGCACACGTCCGACACGCAGTACACGTACAAGGCCGTCGACATGGCCGACGGCGAGATCCTGGGCATGGGTCTGGTCGACATTTATGTGCGGGAGCGGTCCGAGGAAGAGCGCCGGAACCACGGCGTCCCCTGGCTCGAGGGCGAGCAGCGGGAGAGGGCCGAGAAGGTGCTGAACCCTTTGCATGAGATGCGGGAACAATTGTTTGGTGGCAAGCCTTATATCTGTAAGTTGTCTTTTCTTCTTAGGTAGTGTGGGGATATCTGCTGATAATGAAAAAAACAGATGCCCACGTCATCGCCGTCGACCCCAAACACCAGGGCCGCAAGGGTGGTATGGCTCTTGCCAAGTACGGTTTCGAAATGTCGGAGCGGTGCCAGCTGCCCGTCTACTTCGAGGCCTCCCCTTCGTCTATCGGTCTTTATACAAAGGCCGGCTATGAGGTCCTCAAGGAGACTATTGTCCACAAGGCTGAGACGCTCGGCACCGAGGAGGATGTCGTTGTTCCTTTGGTTGTCCGTATGCCCTCGTCGGCGAACGGCATGAGCTTTTATGAGTGGAAGGAGAAGGGATACCCCAACTTTAACGCTCCCTCTGCCAAGACCAAGTTGTAAGGCGTGCGACTTGTTGTTGTCCTGTGATGGCTTGGAGGAGGTCAAAAATAATGTCTTGTAATGTTTAGTATGGCTTGGAGTTTTGGGTAGGGTTGGGTAAATAAAATCATTGGATAGAAGGTATTATTCGGAAACACCGTGAAAACTATCCGTCCGTTGCGAAGTACCAGGCCTTCCACATCGCCATGGCGGCATCGGCTTCGTCCCTTGAACTCTTTGCCAGACCTGAGTGGCCATCATAGCCTGGCATCCATCCCTAACATTCATTAGCACAAGTTTCATTGCCACCAGTGACAGAAAGGAAGAACTCACCTCTTGATCCCACGGTACTTCCATGGGAAGCGCATATCCCTCATTAGACCATGCGTCACCAGTCCCATCCCATCCATAATTCCCCGATCGCCCCGGTCATAGGCGGCGGTTTATCTTGCCAATAATACGGCATCTCCTCCTCCATCTCCACCATCTCCAAAATCTCCAACTGCTCCTCAGCCGACGGCCTCCTCCCCGGATCAAAGCACGCCATCCTCCTAATTGCCTCATATCCTCCCTCCCCACCCTTCTTGTCTCCCGCAATCCTATTCAGCCATACATGCACCAAATGCGGTCCTACCAGCTCACACCCCTTTCGAAAGCGCCTGTCACGCACCCACACGACCGTGGCGAATAGCGACCAGATGTCTACCTTGGACGTTTGTTGTTTCAGTGGTGTGTGGTACATCTCGGGGGCCATGAAGGGTGTTGTGCCGGCTACTTCTTTGGCTCGGGGAGCTTGGGAGGAGGTGCACATGGAGAGGCCGAAATCGGCTAGGGTGAAGTGGTAGTCTCCTGTTCCGAAAGGGGAGTGCTCCCAGAGGATGTTTTCGGGGTTGAGATCACGGTGGATGATGTTGTGTTGGTCGAGGTGATGAAGAGCGAGGAGCATTTGGTGGAGGACAAGGTTGGAGACGTGGAAATGGGAAGAGGGAGGGAGGATCTTTGAAACGAGGGTTTTGAGGTTGCCTGATTTAAGGGGGAGGTAGATCTCGGCCCAGTCGGGGCCGGTCGTGTAACCGAGGATTTGGATGATGTGGTCCTGTAGAATAGGTCGGTACATGTTAATGGGGGTTGGGGGATTGAATGGGGGAGGGAGTGGCTTACACATGGTGTTGACTCGTCGGTGCTGTTGATCTTAAGAAGGGTGGCGATCTCCCTCGAGGCAAAGTCGAGACGTTTGCTGGTCAGACGATGGCATTTCTTGACTGCCATGACACTCCCGGTGGTGACATCCATAGCGCGGTAGACGTTTCCGAATGTGCCTCCTCCTACCTTTGCCCCTAGCACATACCTCTTTGCCTTGGTACGGCTTGGACCCAAAGCGTAGAGAACCGGTGGTGCCATGCGAAACTCATCAAGACCATCATTTTCCCACCGTAGCTCAAACTGATAGAACCTGCCATGGCCAAAAGCTACCAGTGAGTTGATCCCTTGGGCCACCAAGACTGATCGTTCGCCTTCCCGTCGAAAGTTCACCGTGTATGAATGACTGCCGTGGGAGAAGGGCTCTGTAGAGAGGTACTCGGACTCGTCGCAAAGGAGGATAGGACCAGTGTCTGTGACGGCACTAAAAGAGGCGTGCCGTTCTGATATGCCTGACGAACCAGTCGAGTTCCAGACCTGTGGGAGGTAGATGTCGACAGAGTTACTGCAGCCAACGGTGTATTCCTGTTTTTCGGGGTTCGAAAAGTCTATCCAGATGCCTTTGGTGTCTTGGTCGTAGGAGTACCGCTCGAGGTTATGTGGATGGCAGCTCACCAGGGCAGCGGCGGCTTTGTTGAATGGCAATAGCCAGAACCCAAGCCGTTGGTGACGCCCACTGTCTTGATACTCGTAGCTCTCCTCCATATTTTAATGCTTGTTGGTTCAAAGGCCAGATTCAACATCATCAACCCCCTTCCACCCCCCTCTCGCAGACCTGGGATACCTATATAGCAAGCACATACCTCCCAGCAAAAAAGAGGGTGGATATGGCCGGACCATCGTGACTCCCACGGCAAGCATGCAAGACATGCTGGCGTTGCGGAGACAGCACAAGGTCAAATGCCATGATGACCCCATACTCCATCAGCAAACAATCATGCTTGCTGCCACGAGATCTGACATATTAGCGCGGGTCAAGGCAGCCATTAACGGGAAACCGCGTGATGACTTTTCGTTCAACTTTCCAAGGCATCATGTTGACTAGAAACAAGAGACCAATCAACGGGTGTCTTGGGCCTCAAGTTGGGCGCACGCCGTTGAACTTGGCTTTCTCGGAGCTTAGGCATGTGAGCCATGACACCAATCGGCGTGGGGGGTGAGTGTGGACGACATTAGTTCTAGTTGCCGATTTGAAGCGCGGTACTTGTTGTTGTGTGTTTCTGCGTCCAGCGATCAAGCAGTAAATGGGTAGGTAATTGATGAAGGCATCGAGTGTGAGAAGGAAAAGGAAAAGAAGCTGACGGGAAGCTGAAGACCCCTCCTCTCCTCTGAGCACCTTTAAGGCACTGCACTGCAGTGCATAGTCCCCAACTGTTAGCAGATGTACACTGTGAAATCACTGTGCCCATCCACCACCAGCCCCGGGATCTCCCGCCGGCAACCAGATGAAAGCCCAACTTATCTCCACAGTGCCGGTCCCACTCTATCGCAAAACGTCATTCGGGCCTCGGAACAGAAGGGTGCAGTGCGCAAACCGCGACCGAATTTCAATTAATCGCGATTTTGCCTTTTTCGCCTTCCGTCCTCTCTTTTGACTTCAGTTTCCAACCATCACATCAGCCTCATCACCAACTTTGCACACGGCAACCTCATAGCTTATTTAGTAACTACAAGGGGCGCGATCAACACTTCGGCATCCTCATCAAATCCAACCTTACGACCTTGTACTCTGCCGGTACCGCCGCGCATCCATCCAATCCTCTACAACCTCAAATCTCACCACCCGACACCACCACCACCACCAACAAAACCAAAAGCACAATGTCCCGCCGCCTCCTAACCCTCACCCGCCCCCTATCGGGTCTCTCCAGCCTCTCCAGCCTCCCCAAAACCACAACCCGCTTCTCCTCCTCCTTCCTCCAACGCGGCCCCGCCCCTCCCCGTCTTCCGGCAGACCAACAAGCCGAATTCGAGCGTCTCCAAGCCGCCGCCGAAGCCGCGCTGTACACCCACGTCCAAGTACCTCCCTCTACCACAACCAGCACTACGCCATCGTCACCAGAGAACAACTCCAAGCATGTCACCGAGCCTGCCGCCATCAAGGAGAACAACAACACAGTAACAGTAGCGGGCGTAGAAGCCCCGGTGGTGATCGAAGACGCATCGCAAACCTTCAGCGGCGGGATTCGCAAGGGGGCACCGCCCGAGTTTGAGGGCGATAAAAATCCCAAGACGGGGGAGATCGGGGGACCCAAGAATGAGCCGTTGCGGTGGGGCGCCGGTGGGGATTGGAGTTATAATGGACGGGTTACGGATTTTTAGACGGCTGACCGGGAAGGTTGGACATGGTTTGTTTTTGAATGGATGACCCATTAGAAGAAAAGGGAGGGAGGAGGAAGAGGAGGAGGAAATGATGGGTTAGGTACCTATCGATGTATTGGGTAAATGGCGGGGATGGATACACTTTGGTTTATTAAGTGATGGATAGATGGGATGAATGGGCTCATGGGCTGTACGATAGATAGGAGCGAGCGAATGAGTGGTGTCAACTTTAGGTTCAATCAACAGAAACAGCAATGTTTACGTACCTATGTATGTCCACAAAACATCGAGAGTAATGAACGATTTGGATACATCCAAAGCATCTTAGCGAGCGGCCAGAGCTGATGGGAATTCCCCCATCATGAACACGATTCAATTCAGACCACGCAATGATGTATTCTTCTAGGTCTAATAACCATTCATATATATATACCCGCGATTTCACCAAAGTCCATTCAGTTTCCATACATTGGTACTTCTCACATCAACAACGAGCCTGGCAATACATACATAACACAGGCGCCAACACAAGTAGCAAGACATACATCAAAATATAATAGCAACCAAAAACTACTCAACAGCAAGGACCGCATAACCATCAAGAAGACTTGCAAAACGTTCTCTTTCATTTCAACTCAACTAAACCACCAACAACAACAGCCTGGTATCAAACATGCCCAGCGGCAACACAACAAAAACAGGCAAAATGCAATGCAACGCTTCTTTATCTTTCGTTACACAGACAGTCATACACTTTTTAACAACTTGCAATCCGTGCTTCCTTTCCCTCACATTTCGATGCCCCAAAACTTTGTGTGATATCATGCCACATTTCCCTCCTTTCCAAATCTCTGCTTAAGCTTCCTCCTTGTCTTTGTCCTCATCTTTAGCCTCCTCGGTCGCAGAGGCAGAGGCAGGGGCAGCGGCGGGACTAGCAGTAACGGTAGCGGTAGTAGTCGTACTAGTAATCGTAGTAATGATGGCCGCAGCAGCCGCGTCAGCCGCGTCGTGATCAGCTGCTGCAGCAGCAGGAGCGGCAGGAGAGGCAGGAGAGACCGAAGCGACAGCTTTAGCCGACTCTTCCGAAGCAACCGTAGGCGGTACCGTATCTTCCCTGACTTCCGTGGTGGTCTCCGTGACCACAGCCTTTACGGCATCTGGCTCGGCGGCGGCACGTTTTGCAGCTTCCACGACTTCCTCCGCCGGCTTTGATGGCTCCTCTGCCGCCTCCTCCGGTTCCTCAACGATGGTATCGTCATTGTCATCCGCAGTTTCGGTTTCCGTTTCCGGTACAGGAGTCTTTTCGACCTCCGCGGGAGGTTTAGCAGGGGCATCGAGGTTGGATACGGGTGGAGTGCCGGGCACTGGTTCGGTTTCCTTGACTGGCTCGGGCTCGGGCTCGGCTTCCTTTGCCTTGGGTTCAGGGCTGGTGACCTTCTCTTGCTCGACCCTCTTCTCCGGCCCGTTCTCCTGCCTCTTCTCCTTCTCAGGCTCCGGTTGACCAGTTTTTTCCACCTCCATATCTTCTTCCATCGCCTCTTCTGATGCCTCCTTCTCGACAGGCTTATCGGTCATCTCCACATCCTCCTTTTCACCGTCAGGCTTTTTCTTCTCCTGCTCCTTTTCTTGACTCTTGTCCCTTGTCTGCGCCGGTTGAGCCTCAGGCTCCAACTCCATCGTTACATCCCCGTCCTGGTCCTCTTCTCTTTGCTCCTCGACTTCCTTCTCCGGTTCCTTCTCTCCCTCCTTCTCCTTCCCCTTGGGCTCAGCGACACTCTCACCTGGCTGATGGTTCTCCTTATCCTCATCAGCCGCAGCCTTCCTGCCAGCCCCAGCCGACGGCCACCACTTGCTACTCTGCTGGCCCTCGTCAGACTCCTTCTCACGCTGCTCCTGCGGTGTCCCGCTCAGTCTGATCTGTCCCAACTTATTGAAACTAGAAAAAGGTGGGCTTTGTGCAATCTCCCGAAGAGCTTTGTTTATTCTATCACGTCTGGCCTTGCCTCTCAGTCGGCCTACGGGCTGCGCGCCATTGACGAGCCAGCGAATGTCCAGGATGGCGAAGCTGAGGCCGTCGTGCGACGAGCGTGAGTAAACGCCGTCGCCTTCTTCAAGGACGCTGCCCCATTCGCGGCTCTTGATGCCGAAGCGCGTGGTGGAGGCGTACTTTTCGAGCTTGGGGAGTATAACGAGGGTAACGTGAAGATCGCGGTTGGCTGGTACAGCCATGGGGCCGTTCCGAGGGGGTTCAGAGTACACCTCCGAGCCAGCCTCGTCTTTGACCGCCTGAGGACCATTACGCATGCTTGTCAGAATGTCGGAGGCCGTACTGACTGCCTCGTCCAAGCCCAAAAAGGCTGTATCCACATCCTCCGGCCACTCGCCTCTGAACCAACCAGCGTGGATGCAGGCAGCAATTACATCCGAGTCATCAGTGTAGATGTCGGTACCCCAGACAGCTCTCCTGGAAGTGATCTCCTCCCGTGCTTCTGGGGTGAGATGGGTCTTGCTAATCTTCACTGTCAAGGTGCAATTTTCCTTACCCTGGATCAAATCCCACGGCAAAGGTCGAGGGGTCGACTTGAAAGGTTGACGTGGAGGCCTTTTAGTGCGTGAATCCTGCCTCCGCGATGGCGACAGCTTGGGATCGTACACAACCTCACCCAGGTGTGACCGCGGAAGATCGGCCACGCTTTTCATCACCTCTTTCGAGTTGACCTCATGCTTGGGCTTGGGCAGTTGGACCGGCGGGGGACTCGGGGGTTGTACCGGAGCCGCTTTAACTAGACCGTTATGGGGATGCGGCATCGATCGAGGAACAACATGGTGATGATGGTGAGTTGTCGGCAAGTCCTTGGCGAGCATCGCATTGGGCGGAGGCACGGATGTCGCACCAGTCACGTTTTTGAACGGAGTGTTCCCCATGAGCGCAGGCCCAGGGCCTTGCTGGAGATCATGCCGATGATGGTGGTGGTGATGGCTGGGTTTGTTAGTAGCTCCCTGGGATAAGAATGATATAACATCAACGTACTGATGATGGTGGTGGGTATGATGGGTCTTGGTTCTTTTGCCGCGACCCCCCACGGGAGTCAACCTCCCTGTACTATCCTCATCCATTCTGGACTCGTCGTCCTTGAGCTTTCTACGTTTACCACGGCCGGGGCCCTTGGGTCCAGGTTCGGCGAGTTCTTGGGGTTGTGGGACCCCGTCAGAATCCTCGCGGCGCATCAAGCTGGCTCCAGTGAAGGGAAGCTGCTGCATTCCAGTGGGGATTGGGCTCATGGCGCCAACGCCGGTACCAATTCCGGAAAACATACGTCCGAACTCGCTCTTGATGCCAGGTTCGCCTGTTGGGCCAGCCAACTGGGGTTGGGCACCTTGGACAGCCTGGGGCAAAGGCGAAAGGCGACCTTTACGGTTAATTTCCTGAATGCCCAATAAGTTCCGCTGATGTCCAGAGGGAGCCAGTTCTTCCATATGACGACTTCTCGGGGAACCGTACAAAGAGCCTGTACCCACACCACTGTAGGCGACTGACGGAGGGGGCACGGGCTGGTCTTCTCGGCTACGAGGGGGGAGTTGCTGGTGCTGCATGTAATACGGATGTTGGTGTTGCTGCTGCTGCTGCTGCTGTTGCTGCTGTTGCCGCTGCTCCATATGCATCATATTCATCCTTTGTCGTTGTTCTGGAGACTCAAACTGCATAGGACCCGGACCATGAGTTGCCATGGAGTGTTGCTGATGGGGCGGGAGCGACGACGGAGGATACCGATCCGGCGGCGGACCCGTAGCATACGACGGGTGGCCATTGTACGGGGGCCCAGTGGTCACCGGATGCTCGTGCGGATGCCTGGCCATGTGTCCGGGCTGATCGTAAGGACCTCGGGCCTGATCAAAGCTCGGCCTGTGCCAATGACCTTGCTCTCGTGGGTCAGGAGGTCGACCAAACTGAGGGGGGGCTCTCTGATGCTCCATCTGGCGAGCATACTCGGCTTGTTGTTGCATCGGGTGTGGCCGTCCAGCGTCACTCCCCGACATGGTCCTCTCGCGGCGCTCCCTCTCACGCATCTCCTGGAATTCTCTTTCTTGGCGCTCCCTCTCTTGCCGTTCCCTTTCAGTCATGAACCGCTGCTCCTCGTAATTGGGCCCTCGAATGGGACGCTCGGGGTTGTATTCTTCGACCGTTCGCCTGTCCTCTCTATGCCCATACATGTCGCCTGACGGTGGTCTACCCATTTCCATGGGACGTGGCGGAGGAGCATTCGGGAAGGACTTGGGCTGGCTGTTGGGCCGCGGCGGCACCCCGGTCCCAGCCATACGTGCCTGCTCCCTTGCTTGTTCTGCAGCAGTTAGTGGCGGTCCCCTATTGCTATAGACCTGCGGTGTACCATAGCGCTGCACCTCCGGGGTGTAGCCACCCGAAGGCGACACAGCAATGCCCGTCCTAGGATCCCTGGGATCGCCCCTAGGATCTCGCGGGTCTCTAGGATCGCGCGGATCTCGAACATCACGTGGGTCTCGAGGGTCGCGGCCATCAAACAATCTGTGCCGGTCGGGTGTCTGTGGTCGGCGGAAGCCAAAGTCGGGACCTGGACCGCCCATCGTGTGCATTCGAGGGGATGCATGCATGGGTTGGTTATAGGGCGGACCTGACACACCCGAGGGGGGTCCAGGCGGGTATGGACCGGCAGGAACGCCGGGATCGCGAGCTGGGGGAGGGCCGCCGAGCATGGAGGAGATGGACATGCTGCTGCCGGAGCCGGTCCTAGGCAGAGTCTCCAAGGCCGGGAGCTGGCGGTCCCTAGGAAATGCGCTGGGTGGCCCGATGGCGACCGGAGGAGCTCGAGGAGGCGGGATGCCATAGGATCCACCCATCTGGTGCGCATTCGGCGGCGGACCTTGTTGAGAAGGGTGTGGCGGCTGTGGTGGCTGCTGCTGCTGCTGCTGTTGATGAGAGCCCGGATGTTGTTGTTGTTGTTGCGCGTGTTGCTGGGGATGTTGCTGTTGCGGATGCGCTTGCGGCGGGGGACCCTGAGGAGGCGGCCCCTGCTGAGGAGGGGATGTGGGCGGCGGCGGCATCGCGCGATTAACGGGGCCGGGCCCTGATGTAATCGAAGAAGCGCTGGGGTGTCGCGAATGCGCCGGGGGCATCATCGGGCCGGATTCGTGTCGCAAATGCCGGGGCGGACCAGCGTAGTACTGGATCGGATCGGAGAGTTTGCGCGTGTGCAGATCCGCATGAAAAGTCGAATGCGACGGATGGGCAGACGGCGAATAGCGCTGCGACTGCGGCGGCGGTGGTTGCTGGTGCGCTGGCTGCGGCGGAGAACGATGCGATGGTGGTAGTTGTGGTTGATGTTGCTGCGGGTGCTGTTGTTGTTGCAGATGATGAGAATGTGGATGAGGATGCTGCGCGTGTGGTTGAAGTGACGGCTGTGGTGGTGCTGGTGGCTGCGATGACGCGGGCGGAAATGGTGGGCGACCAAAGGCGGTGGTGGTGGTGGTGTTCGCGTTTTGGGCAGAAGCTGGAGCAGCGTTCCCGTTCCGTGAAAACGGGAGCTGTGGCGCCGGCTGCTGTTGCTGCTGGTGCTGCTGGTGTCTTGGATCCATCCTGTCGAAAAAAAAAAGTGGAATGCTTGCTGGGGAAAAGAGCGGAGAGGGCGGACGGACGCTCGGGTAACAGGTCCCCGCGGATCTCCAGTTTGAAGGGAAAAAAAAAAAAAAAAAAGTCGAGAAGTGGAATTAAAAATCAACAATGACGACCTTTTTTTTTTTTTTTTTTTTTTCTTAGTCCCTGCGCCTAGACCACCTCAAGATCCTTGACTAGGGCTACACAGCGGCTGGACACCGACAAGCCGAGGTGAAGAGAGCACAGAGCAGCAACCTGGCAACCTCACAACTTGACGGCAGGAGACAGACTCGGGATTCGATTCTTTTCACCTTGTTGAGACTTGAGACGCCTTAGCTGGACTGACTGACTGGAAGGTGGATCGACAAAGCTGACAGGAAGTTGGTGCTAACCTGGCTAGGCTCCCGTCTGGAGTCTGTCGACTTGTGACGGCGCGCCGAGACGAGTGACGGGGATGCCACTTGAACAAACGAAACGCGGTTCGACAGGACGGAGTATCAGTCACCTAACAACCCCGACTCTGTCAATGAAAAGAGACGGGACTCGACGTTCCTCAAGATGTGGTGAGGATCAGATGTGTGCCAACTGGAAACGAGGGAAAAGAGCACAAGAGCAAACTGAAGAAAGTGCAAGGACGGGAGTTGTTGGTTTGTTGCAAGGACGGACGGGAAGGTGGTGTGCCAGGCCAGGTGGAGGTTCGAATGCTGGAAGATGGATGGATGGATGGATGGATGCAGGTGGACAGATCGATAGTATTCGATATGCCCGCTGTCGGTCTCAGCCTGCTTGGTTCGCTTCTTCAGTTTGGGGAAAAAGCAGGTTGATTTTGGTGTGTGCGTGGTTGTGGTGCCTGCAGTCGTGCGGTGCCTGTGCTGTCAGCTGCGTGTGGTGTGGTGTGCTTCCACTTGGCCCTGCCTGTCGGTCTTCCACTTCTGTGGAGAGATGGAAACCTGGCTGAGCGGGTGCGTCCCCTCAGGTCGTGCCAGGGCCAGTCACCCACCACCCCCCGGCTTCACAAGCTCACAAGCTGCACGATTGGAACGGTCACCCCTGGACGAAGCCCGCGACCTGGTCCCACACTGCCCTGCCCAGGCTAACTTATTTCTGGGGAAAGGTTGGTCAGCTGCGTGACCGCCCGACGAACCTGCATTCGGGTTTTGCGATGCCACTCGTCCGTTTTTTTGTGGTGTTTTACCTCTCCAACAACGAACTGTCCAACCCAGCGGCTCTTGTTGCTTCTTGTTCACCTTTGGCCTTCCTTTTCGGTTCGTTGGAGACAACAAAGGCACAGTTGGCTCAGTATGCACCAGTCCCCCAGCCGCCCTCTTATACTGTAAAAGACTTGGAACCCAGAGACTGGACCAGTGGACACAAGGAATAACAACAAACAGGACATAGTCTACGCTTGATCTGTAGAACGGGATGGAAGCCACTTGTTGTATTGGGTAGTCACGCATGCGGAGTAGATAAGCAGATGACCGGAAAGAAAGGCGGATCGCGAAGTCGCGGAATTCAAGACAGGAAGAAAAAAAAAAGAAAGAAAAAAAGACGGAAGATCTGGACAGAAAAGGGAACCCAGCCAAAAGTATTCCGTACCCACAATAGCCAAAACAGGGATCCGGGGCAGACGCTAGCGTTCTCGATGGGTGTGTTTGTTTGACAATTGGGGCAACGGGATTGACAGGGATCATGTTCTGTCATGAATAAATTCTCTTTTTCACAGGTGACGATGATGTGGCTTGAGCGCCCTTCCCGGACAGACTTCAGGGTCTTGTGTCTTCACATTCTCCGTTGGTGAGGATGATTAAAAGTTCTTGTCAGAAATTCATCAGCGACGGATCATCGTGTCGGTAAGTGAACAGCAGATCAAAAGTCAGATCAAAGACAACTGGAGCTTCAGATCAGATGAAAGCTGGAACCTCAAGACAATTGACTAACGTCGCAATCGAAAGGCGGCATTGACAAGAGAAAAACCATGTCGATCTTGTTACCACGATCAGGGCAGGCACGGCACAAGGAGCGGCCAACCACACCAAACCAAACACGGTAGGGCGCAACAGGGCAAGCACGGCACGGCAGCCCAGGGCACCACTCGCCCACCATTCCCCTCAGGGGACCCGCTCCATCATATCTCTATTGTCCACTTAGGTTTTTTGTCAGGGGAGAAGCGCCTCCTCCAACAAAACAATGAGGGGTAGGCACTCTCGACTGTCGAGAAAATGCGGGCAGGTGCGGGCAACAAAGCAGCGAAACCCGAATGAGGAGTCGTTGGGCAAACGAAATGCAACCTCCCACTTTCCCATCCATCCAGTGATCCAGATCTTGTCCCAATTTCAGATCTTTCTACTGTCAAGTCGGGTCATCGAGATTCTGTCTCAGGTTTTCTACAACCAACCTTCGCTCTTTGCGCCATGAGACCGACAAACACTCTTAACCCGCATCATCCCATGCTGTATCATATCGTCCTGCTCGTTTACCCCTCGGAATTTGACTGAGGACCACAGCCCCAACTGCCCTCCCGAATGCCCCCGCGATGCGATGGGATGTGATGCGTCACGGCCATGCCGCTGCAGTGCTCTGAGGCACAGATACTCTACCATATGACATTTGACTGCGTACAGTCGGATGCTACGGATGAAGATGACCATGCCACGATCCCACAGGCTCGGATCCTTATCGACCGATATCTTATCAGCCCCCTCCTACTAAACCTCAGACACGAAACACACGGGTCACGCTGTCAAGGTAAACGGTTTCGGGATTCTCTGTCGTCTGGATTTCTTCCATTTGTTCATTTGTTAACAAACACCTTTCCTCGTTACAGCCAAGACGGACTTTCCCCCGTTTCCTTTCCTCCCGAAAACCGTGGGACGGCACGCCAGGCACAGCAATCTTATCTCATCCCTATCAGCCTCGTACTACTTCGGGCGAATGCCAGTTGAACATCAGCCTCGGTGACGAACCAACAATGAAGAGACGATCGGAAATACCGTGAATGAGTACCCGAGTCAACGAGATGGAAACTGGCAAGCCTACGCGGGGAACATACGGACAAAGTTCGGTTCCGAGACTGAGGACTGAGGACTCGAGATAATCATCAGCTGTTTGCTCAGCTGTAGTAGACGTTGGAACATTTTATTACGATCCACTACAAGAGTGTACGGGATGGCAGGGGAGAGGCAACTCAAAGGTAAGACTAGGCGATGTGTAAGTAGTCCATTGTCTGCCCTGCGCCGTGTTACACAAGTCAAAGTGTGGAAGCGTGTTCAAGGAGCATGGGTAAAGCCTCCGAGACCTGGAGGAGAATAGGGCCATGTTGTCTTCCCTGTTTCCGAGCTTTAGTACCCGGAACTGGTAAGAGAAGAGACACTCAGGCTGCAACAAGGACAACATGGAGCGACAGTGCATATGTTGACACTAGCATACGCACAAAGCTCGCTGCGAGGCAATGCACCCCGATCCGTTGCTCATGCATTTTTCTTTTCTTCTTTTTTTGAACCGAGTCGCATCTTGCGGGAAATATGCATAAGCAGTCGTAGATACAGCAAGTAATGAGATCGGCATGCTTAAAGAATCTGATTGACATACAGACAGACCGACATCACTACAAGCTTTTGGATTATATCTATCTGTCTTCAGTATATTATTCCCGTAAATCAGCCAACGAAGCCTTTCATTCTCGATACCTACCAGACTTGTTCAACCGCCTTTTGCTCTGTCGATCTCCTCCTGGTGGCAACATATACCTAGAATGTATCCAACTCTGCTTTCAAAGCCAAGCCTCACAGGTAAATTGCAAGAAAAGCTTGTCGTTGGCATTTGAGCACCGCATCACGTATGTACATGTACATGGATCAGCATTGGGACCAGCAGCAGCCTGTCGTACACTGCCCAAGTACTTATGTACACACCTGTTACAGCTGACATACTTGGACATACGGTACCCAAACATCGGATTGCCAGAAATGTAGCATAAGCAGGAGCAGAAGCAGAAGCAGGAGTAGTAGCAGCAGCAGTTAACATCATGTTGGAGCTCGGAAGTGGAAGTGATGCAAAAAGATGGATGCCAAGGTGCCTCAGCCTTGTATTTAACTTCCTTAGCTCTGCAGCCTGCACTCTGCACTCTTATTGACTTGACTTGACCGGCTCACACCTGACCTAGGTATGCTACATGTACCTCGTGATAAAATTGACAACAACTTGGAAATATAACTAAACAAGGCATTATTCCCCCCTTCCCTTAAGTAGCGTCACAGGGAAAATGCTGTGACATTGTTGTCCTAGCCTATATAGTAATGCATTCCGATGTTCGTTGGCAAGCGAACATCGTCCTACCTTTTACCTAGAGGCTAGGTTTGGCCTGGCGGTCATATGCATTACCGCCCCGTCACAAGTAGCAACTCAAATCTCATAATCAGTTCCAGAGGTTCGTTGTTTCACTCAAGTTCAATACATGATCGACTACTATTATTTCGCCCGCTGCTGTTTTTCGTTGTACGTGATGTTCATTTAACTTGTATAGCCCGTCCATCGCCCAAGACATTCGTTCAGGCACTCCCGTCGTTCGTTCAATCGTTCCGTCGTTTATGATCCATCCTCGAAGTCTCCTTGCGCAAAGACATTAGTTCTAGAATTCCTGAACCTAAACTTCAGCAATAACACCACTACAGTAAAACAACGAAGAAAGAGCAAGAATCCCATCCATCTTCCATAACCAAAATCCATCTTGAAAGTATCTCATGTTATGACACTTGGATATAAGGTACGTATTATTTATTTCGGGGAACCATCCATAACCTGAACGAACTTCATCTAAAACCTGACCCCCGTCCCCAAAGGGTACGTGGTAAGCTCAAAGCACCTCTCAACAGTCCTTGTACCCTTGGTTGGACATTGATGATCACAAAGTCTCGTTACGACTGAACTGACGGATCACCTCTACTGGGATGTACATATCTGTTAGGTTGTTAGCTTGGTAAGTACCGTGGTAGCTTGATACGGTGGCTCTACATTGACATGGAAGAAACATGGAACGGGAACATGGACCGGGAACAGGGCTGACGACAAACTGCAGTGGCTAGTATATAGTATTTCTTGTGTCGAGATCCAAACTTGATGCCACGCCGAAAAGCCACGTTAGCAAATTATACTTCAGCAGAGGTATTGATACACCAGTCGAGTTTGAAGTTAAAAAGTTACTGTTGAGTTTGAAGGTTAGGTTCTTGAAAGGAACTTGGGAAAGGGAGGAGGCTCCACTTGGGGAAATCGGGGGCTGACCAATCAACTAACACCCTTTCTCTTCCTGGTGAGCACATTGAGAGGTCACGAACAGTACTTCAGGTACCTACACTACCTCTACGTAGAGAGGAGGCGGACTGCTGCCCGGCTGACCGAAGATTTGTTGCAAGTTCACTACAGCCGATCACATCGATAGCAAGGACGCAATACTTATACGACCATCGATCAAAATAAGGATTCAAAGTCATTAGGTATTACCGTTCACTAACACATGAACAAAATATCCTAGGTATTCGTTACCGCTGCATCGCATCGCATTGACCTCCTCATCAACACCCCATCCATCCGCATTTCCATTAGGCGTTCTTAACCCCCGGCGCCGCCAGCGCCAACAGCTTGTCAAACTTGGGCGTTCCCAATCCCGTAACGGGATCCCATCCCTCGGTAGCATTCCACTTGGCAGTCCCACCCACATCACCCGCAAACTCTGGCCTGCCCCGGCATCCAGTACCCGCACCATCCACAATATCCGTAAACGCGCCCTTGGAAGCATCAGCATACAGCAAGGGGTTAATGAATCCCAAGCTCGGCAAGCCGTGGCTCTTGCGGGCAGCATTGAGCAGGGCAACGAGACCAGCGAACATGGGCGCCGAGGCGGAGGTACCAGAAACGCCAACAAGACGACCGTCAACGTACACAGCGTACCGGGATGCCTGCGCACTCACGTCGGGGAAGCCACGGCCCTGCTCGTCAAAGAACTCGCTGTACGTGTCGCCGATCTTGTCGAGGTACTTCTTGACGACGCGTTCCTGGTACACGGGGCGCTTGTGGTACATGGAGAAGCCACCGGACGAGAAATCAACGGCCTTTTCGGGGCCCGTCTGGTAGGTGCCTCCGACCGAGGTAACCCACGGGCAGGCGCCCGGGAAGGTGGGCTCAAAGTAAGTGTTGTTGGTGCCGTCGTTGCGGATGCAGGCGTCGCCGGGACCGGAATCGCCCGAGGAGAAAATGACGGATACACCGCGCGCGCCGAGCTGGCCGATCATGGAGCACACCTTGAGGGCGTACTCGCGGGGCACGGATTGCTCTTCTTCACCGTACGAGGTGGAGAGGGTGGCGGGGAGCTCGGAGTTCTTCAGGGACAAAAGGTACTGGAAGAAATCGAGGTAGGGCTCGTTGGAGATCTCGGGGCCGGGCTGGTTGGCCGTGGGGACGAGCGGGCCGCGGCCGCCAATGGAGTACTCGCGGATCGGAATGGGGTTGGAAATGGCGAGGATGTATTGGAGGTCAAGGTTGGCCTCGACTGTGGGGGTTATTAGTACGCGGCTTGAATGGAAAGACTGGGGAAAAAAGCTCACCTCCGATCTTATCGGGAGACTGATCATGGAGACCACCCTTGACGAGCTTGACGGTGTAGTTGCGGTCAGCAGCGTCGGGAATAAAGGCCTTGGCGAACGAGGTGAAATCGTCATAGTTGGAGTACTGCTCAAGGTACGAGGCGAAAGCGATGGTGTTCTTGTCCGAGGCAGAAGGCTTGTACTTGATGTTGTACAGGGAGCGAATCTCGTCGGGGTAGATGCAGCCGGTACAAGTGGGGTGGTCCCCGCCAACCTTGACGTTGGCAATGCTCTTGGGCTCAGGCTCATCGAAGATCTCGAAGATGGTGGAGGCCTTGGCGGCGAGCTTGCCGAAACGGGTGGTGGGCTGGATCATGTCGACATGGACATCCAGCTCATCGGGAACGCTGTACTGGAGAGTGCGGAGCTTGGGGCCCGTCTTGTCGCCATCCTGCTGGTACCAGTCGAAAGTGGTGTTGAGCAGGTTGTTGGCCTTGGCGACCGAAGTGGTAAAGGAGATCCAGTCGTTGTCAACCTTGCCCTTGATACCGTTGCGGTTGAGCCACGTGGTGACGGCATCCGTGGTCTCGTCCGAGGGCGCAACCAGCGAGCGAACCTCTTCGCTGCTCAGGTGCATGCCATACTCGTGGTGGTTGGGATCAGACACGCGGAGAATGGCAGTCTCAAGAGCATCGGACTGGTGGGCGGGGAGGGCGATCTTGAGCGAGACGCTCTCGTCGGCCGAGGCGGCGCGAACCTTTTTCCAGCCCGAGGGGACCGAAGGGAGGCTGCTCTTGACATGGGCAGAAGCGCCCGCGGCGAGGAGGAGGACGGACCAAAGCATAATGGTGATGGTCGACTGGTGCCTGGTCTGGTTGGACTGAGGTGCGACTGGGAGGGAAGAGAGAAGATTGGGGGGGGGGTAGGGATGTTATATAGTCGGACCTTTGTCCTCCACGGAAAGGAGTACCAAGATCCAGCATGACATGATTTTTTGGAGTGGCAGCTACAACTTACGCGATAGCGGTCATAGGCCGTACAGAAAGACCGTAGATGCAGATCATGATGTCGTCCAAGGTATCAGGAGAACGCGTTGAGCTCCTTCCTTATTGGGTTAACGTGCTCCCTGCACATGATGGACCGGCATGGAACCCGTCTCGTCGAAAAGCCGTGTCCGTTAAACCGACTGTGGTCTGTTATTTGGACAATCGCTTTCTGTGCTATTAATTGACGTTGTCTTTTTGTATTTGAAATGCCGTCGTCTGTTTTTGAAGAATCGCAATTTTTGTTTGACTGACCGTGTTCCGAATTTGAGCAATTACGGCAAAGGCTCAAGACTTGGAGCTTTAACAAGTTCCACGCCTGTCTTGGTCGCATCGGTTCCTATCGATATCACTGCATGCCCTTGGGAGGGCATATGTCCGGCATTTACTTGTATGCATTACGCCCATGAAAACTTCCACCACAAATAAGTGCACATTTCAATGCATTTCACCGGACAAGAAGTAGCCATTGTACATACGTAATAAGAAGAGAAAGTCCATCGAAGCTTTGAGTCTGAATCTGACCTTTGCGGTGTGTTGGCAGACACGCACTTAACACTTCCACGCCATGGTCATTTGAGTACCTGACATAGTCTCTTTAACGGACCCGCGGCAATCCGGTTTGGAACATGATGAATTCCAGCGAACAGCGACAATCCAGCACTGTCGTGTTTCCCGGGCGGCGGCGGCGGTGGATGGAAGAGCACAAGGGAAGCTGGGCAATGAAGGAGGAGGAGTATGTAACGTCAGGAACCGAAACAGAGAGTGACAGCCAGGAAAAGGCGTCCGGGTGTTTGCTCCACACCACTTGGCAAGTCACCGGCACTGACGATGATCGGCCCCCCAGCCCCATTTAACTGAATGCGGTTAACTTGGGGGGCGGCCCATTGGCGAATAAGGGCAGGTCGATACACAGAGCCAGGCCGTGGATCAGGCCAAAAGATCGTCGTCGCGACTGTCACAAAGGGGCTGTTGTTGGGTTGCCGACGAAGTTTCGTTCGTTCTGTCAGCAGTTGGTGCGGATTGTTGGATGCGGATCCGATGCTAGTCGATGCGGATCTGTTGATGGAAAGAGGAAGGTCGGTCGACACGGACTAAGAACCACGGGCCGGGAGAGGGTGTCATTGGCCAATTGCACTAAGGTAGGTACACGGAAAACCGGTCACCGTATGTAGTGTATGTAACGAGATCTCTCATCTGCCGAACGCTGCAGACTGAGTGCAATACATGTATGACAGAACAATGCTACCGTTGGGCTGGCGACTCTGCGGTCAGTGCCAGTCCAGAAGACGAAGGTGGTAGCCAGATGGGATGCTGTGGGCTATTATTTTGCTAGTCGCAATCTCATTCTGTTGATAGAGTTTGTAATGCGTTATTTTCATCATATTCGTGTACAAGATAGGTGAGATGGCTGTACGCCGTCACGGCGTTTGCGACTTTGTCCTTCCTGATGGTGACAGTGATGGGAGTTCACGATGGCCTTCATCCCGTCGACTAACGCACGGCCACTGGAGTGCCTCAGCAGTGAGCTACACTTGGCAAAGCTTGACCAGACGGCAGCAGGCTCAGCTTGCTGTCAAGTGGGATCAAAATTCTTGTCAATGTAACATTTTAGCCGGGACCATTGAATCCAGCATTTTTCCTTCTCAAAGGCATGAATGTTGATCTGAGATAGTCAAATGTAGCTGCTTTTTTGTTGGTGTTTGTTTGCTCGCTGTTGTTGATGACAGACAGAGCAAGATCTCCATTTCTTGTTCTCGACAATATTTTGTACGGCATGCCTCCCATCGATACGTGCCGACACGCGATGGAATGACATGCCAACGCTGACCACGAACCCCACTTTGGTGATGGTTGACCTTCCTCGTTAGGATATGGTTCTCCGCCATCACTTTACGATGGAGTTTTCTATTAAAAAATCAAATCGTCATGGTCGATGGCGCAAGAGACTGTCTTATGAGGAGACAGGCGGAATTGCCCGAGCGATGCGATGCCGCAGCTGAGAAAAACGAAAGAGGGAGGCGGAAAAGACCAAAGGGAAAGGGACAGAAGATTCGGAGAGTCAGCATCCGCGTCTTGTTTAAATGAAACCGCCATCACCCAAAGTCGTTCTTAGCCTTCGTATATAAATTGCTTCCTCACCCCTTTGCTTCCTCCTCACTCCGCGCTGAAAGTAACGCAAATATTTTACTACTTGGCAGTGGTAACTATCTTTTGGGTGGTGCGGGTGGCTGCGTGGCTGCTTTGCCAGCCTGCGTGGCGGTCAGGGTTCGGTGGCTGCTGCGCCGCGAGAATTACAATCTCAAAAATCGGCAAGAGGATGGTTTATTTTGCCCGGCTGCTCATTTTGAACGGTTGACAACAGGATGATGTAAATACGGTTCCAAAGTCCGGAGAGTTATGTTTGTGCTCCTCGACCGTCGACGGGATGGCATGTCCTCAGGGCCGTTCGGCGGTGTTTTCCCGGAGGCCACTGCAGGCCCACCCACAGTGGAGGATATGGCTGGCAGACGGTCCGGAACGCCGCTACCGGATCTTTCGGCAGCGGCCTGGATCCGACCTCGCGTTACCCCCGGATCGCGGTCGTCTTTCCGACCACAGCGGGCTCATAACGGGCCGTCCACGACTCGATAAAAATTCCCGCCGTCGGCCTCTCTAGTGTAGTGTAGACCATGGCATCCTTCACCGTTCCACGGACGGACCGATAGTCTGCAAGTGGAGTCGGACCCATCAGCCCGGATGCACACGGCTGAGAATGGGACAAGGCAATTTTGTTTGGATGGAAAAAAAGGACCGAGGCCCAAGTACGGGAGGTGCCCGTTGGCCCCCATCACCACGCCGCAGGGAGCTTCCTTGGATCTCAAAAGATTCAGCCACTTGTCGCGCTCTCTTGGCAGGCACGAAACGACGACGCCGGCAGCCGAAAGGAAGCTCAGTCACGACGAAGACCGGTTCATGTGAGGACGCGGGTTGGGCCTGTACGACGTCAGCGAGATGAAGATAATCAGCTCGATAATTAGTGGTTCATCTTGCTTCCCTTCTCGCTGACGGGACCCTCACTGACGACCGCGGGCTACGAGACTGCGAGATTGGGGGAGATTTGAGGCTGGTCCAGGGTTGACACTGCATAGTGTACAAGTACCTTACCTCTGGACATGAATGGCGGCGTCTGATTGGCGAGGTGCCTTGTGGTCTGTGTGCCACCGCAGTTCTAGGCGTAGTGTACAGCGACTGTGAGGACGAGGAGGAGGAGAGCGTGACCTTTAACCACAACCGTTACTAGTGTACCGCTAGCCGAACCGCCGTCATGCCGCCTAGTCGTGTATCATGATGGCTGATGGAAGTGGTGGTGATACATACATACTTGGTCTTGGTTACCTACTTTGTCCCACGTTGGACAAGCCAACTTGGCTGCAGCAGGAATACCAGTAAGATGGGCATGTGCTCACTTGCAGATGGAGCTGATAGGGCCATGATAGATTCTGAGCCCTGTGACTTACAAAGTTGGCTGTTGATTGCGACGGGTATCTCATTGGATGTTTATCTGGCTCACTCGCATCACCAACTTGTCAAAACCTGCGGGAGGATGAGCGATGGGAAGTTGATGGGGGAAAGGAGACCAAAGAGGTCCGTGCACAGTCTACCCCAAGACAAATATATCGACCAACACCGCTCACAGTCTCCGGTGAGGAGAGGAGGAGTTGGAGAAAGGGATGATATGTAGGTAGGTACCATCTTTTGAGCTTATCTCTATCAAGGCCAAGAAGAGATTACACTACACTACACTAGTGAAGCCGACACTTCTTCTAATCTGCTACCCGAACCCTTTCTCGGTGTTGTTATTTTCGGTTCCTCCTACTGTGTACATGCTTGGCGACGGGGCTTTCCCCTGAGACAGACAGAAAGAAAAAGGTAGGTTGTATTTACGCTTTCGTTGGCATGTAAGGTACAGCATCCCATCCGAACAAATCCAACATAGGTACCTACGGCTTCATCGTTAGACTGAATGCATCGTGAGGAGAGGAGGTGAGAAAGAGGAGAACTTGAAGCCATAGAGCAGGAAGATCCTTGTTGAGGCATCATCTTGATCTGGTTCGTTACCCCCCAATTTCTGCGAATAGTTTAAATTTGGCTCTCCACCTGTTGCATCCACTCGTCTCGTCGGGTCCTGGACCCTAGGTCAACTCCAAATTGTCTATCAATCTCGTACACTACATTTTGTACGCATCTGTAAAGTCGTGCCAGGGCGGCTTCCGGCAGTTGCTAACACCATGGACACGTTGTATTGGAATTAAACGTGGTTTTCGGTGTTTTACCTCCTGTGTGCTGCTTTCCGGGGCCGTCATGTCAGAATTGCGTACTGCTTGTTTGTCTTTTTGTCTTGCTTGGTCGGGGTGAGACTGGACTGAGAGTCTGGCTTGTCTTGACTCCATTTTAGAATTCTATTGTTTTCCTTAGTTCTCTTCACCCCCCTAACTACTCCATAGTAGTTTACACTTTGGGGCCATTTCTCAATCCTATCCTCTCTCTCCTCTGGGGTCTAATTGATCCAACTCTCTTTGTGCTTCCCGCCTTCTTTCTTTCTTTCCTTTCCGTCCGCTCTCTTCCTCTTGTTCCATTGTTCGCGCTCTGCCGTGTCCGGGGGTCTAGATCAACCTCTCCGGTCCGTCCAGGAACGTACCAACTACACCGGAGCGGTACCTCCATCTTCAACCACATCGATTCGCTCGCCACCACCACACTCACACGTCCCGTCACTACGTAGGTCGTTATCCCATCCTTCTTTTCTTCTTTTAGCCCGGTCCTAAAACACTCACTTCCGCACAACGTTGGTTTGATAACGCAGTACGTCCTCACTCTTGGTCGCACACTGTATACCGCCCAGCAGGTACCCTCATCAACGTCGTTGTCTAACCCGCTCCAAGAGGTGCAGCAAAACCTTGTGCAGTGCCTAGCGCCCCCCTAAGCAAGCAAGGCCCCCACATGATTACATCCCGTTCTCCAGCCAACTTGATCTCCTTTGCGCTGCCCTGCTTTTTGTCGATATCGACGCCGCCATTCGCTTCCAGCTTGGTTCGAGGCCCCTACTCGTGCCTTATCAACCAACATTCTCCGTTGTGGGAGTTTACAGCCTCCATCCAGCTCGACAGGGTGAATTGCCAACTCCACAGCTAAAGTCCCAGTATAAACTAGACAGAACCCCCCCTCGGTCCTTTGCAGGCTGAGGTCCTCGTTGATTGAATGCTGGTGTCCCTCACGACTTGAAGAACTACAAAAAAACAAAAAAAAGAGGAAGAAAAGAAAAAAAAAAGGCATGCCACCAAGTCTGACCTACCACAGGACTGCCGCCTGACCTATTGTGTTCCTTGTCCTCGACATCGACTGAACCACAATAGGGTATAAGAAGAAGCAAAACACCTCGCCAATACTAATACCGCCAACATGGCCCTCAAACACAGCGATAACGACATCCAAGACTCGCAGGGTCATCATAATGTGGACGACAACGTCGAACCTCAGGGCCCAACATCAACACTAGAAAATAATACTCCGACGACAACGACAACAACAATAACTCCGAGTGTCGAGGTCCAGCAGGTGTCCTCTCCAGCCCAATCTCCCAGGTCTCCAGCGTTGTCTCAGGCTACCGCTCCCTTCAGCACGGCGACGCCTATAACCATGGCCACGACACCGTCCTCATCAGTGGCCGATCAGACATGTGCGGCTCCGCTTGGTGCGAACACAGTTCCTGGCGATCATGATGGAAATCAACAACAACTGGGCCTGGAGAGGGACCCTCCAATCCGGCTGCTCAGTCCTGCGGGAATCACGCGGCGCGCCAGCAGCACGAGCAGCATAAGAACAGACGGCTCCAGCGCTAGCAACACTCCGTTAACCGCAGGAGCTCAGGCCGCCGTCCCCCTCCCAATCCCGGCACTCGCAGAGCTGGCAGCACGCGGCGCAACCACGGTCAGCTACATGGTCCAATCTTACGAGGCGCTGCGAGCAGCCAGGATTGCCGCCGGATACGATATGGTGCAACAAGTGTCGTCCAAAGCGAGTGGGAGCCAGTTGGGCGTATCACCATCGCCGTCGCCGTCGCCGTCGCCTTCGGGATCCCGGTCGCCGTCCATTGTGCAAATCCCCAATCAACAAGACAATGACAATGATAGCGATAACACGCGATCGACAGCAGCGATAGTACCTGGAGACGATTACAACAACAATAGGCAGGATTCTGGCCACGACGGGGCTGCAGCTAACAACAAGCAATACGACATTGACGATCCCAGTCCCGATAGCAACGAGCGAGGTAGCCAACTTCGGCCTGTGCCGCAACAACAACAACCCACAGCAGCCGCCGTCACGACAGGGGATCATTCCTTTTCACGATCAATAAGCGACAACCACCAACACGAACACGACCTTTCTGCCCCCCTGAACAGCTTTTCGCTGCCCCCTCCGCCACCGTCTGATCCCAGCGCAGTAGTAGGAGCAACTGCCGTCGCCAACACGACCGTTGTCCGCCCAACCCCCGAGAGCCCCAAAGTACAGCGATCGCGCAGCTCTACAGTAGCGCTACAGCAGACCCCGCCGCCGAGAACATCCTCGACCGCCAGCATCCCCCTGAGCCACCCTACCCCGGACACTAGCAAGCGATCACGATCAGGCGCCTACGTCGGTAACATCGCTGCTCTCGAGGCCACCGCCGAACGCTTTTCATTGACCAGCTCAATTGAAGAGGCCATTCGCAACGAACACAACGAGCTCAAGCGCAGCGACAGTCGCCGATCGGCCATCCTACAAGCAACCAAGTCACCGACATCAGACACTGCATCCTCCCCCATTCGATCGCGGGTATCGTCGAGCAGGACCAACTCCATTCGCGCATTGAACTCTGCGGCGCGGCTGGGAGGCTACTCGCCCGGAGGTTATGTTATGACGCCCAACCACTCTTTGTCGGGCGGCGCTCATTCCGGAAGCAAGCCGGGGTCCATTGGAGAGTCGTCGCCCAAGTCTCCTCCAGCCGAGACTGCTGCAAACGCCCAGAACCCCGACTTCATCGGAGCCGGTACCGGAGAAGAGTTCCCGTTTGCCCGCCACGGACCAGGAAAGAGTTCGGTCAGGGATGCCTCAAGGAAACCGGACTCTCTTGCACAGATCGCCGAGTTGGACCACCCAATAACGATTACCCAGGATGCTATCGACGAGGCAGACCGTGCTGCGGCCACGGGGGCGGCCCTAGATGACGATGAAGCCATCGCAGCCCGTGCCCATCAGCAAATCGAGCCGCAGTATGCAGATGAGATGGACGACGTGGACCTCAATGGACCAGACGAACCAGTGCGACAGCCAATACTCGACAATACTTTCTTCGACCAGCCCGGTCCCCGGTTGCAACTTCACCAACCCGTCGACTACCCGCCCTACGAGGACCATGATGCTCATCAGCAATATCACGGCAGGCCACTGACGGCCGCATCTCGCACCACCTTGCAACAAGCCAACGATGCATTTGGTGATTTTGATGGCGTCCACTGTGATCCAGATGTAGATCATTTCGCTGGGCTCCCACAGCCTGCTGAACGCGCTCCTGAGCCAAGGAGGCGTCGCGAGACACTGCAACCACGACCAAAGTCTTACTTTGACCCTTCGACAGGTCAGGAGATGCTTTACTACCCTGCGCCAGTTCCCGCCATGCTCAACCTCCCGCCCAAACTCTCCAAAAACACCAACAAGGCTGGTGGTGCCCGGAACATGCGTCGGTCTCAGGTTCTCAGCGTTATGCAGCAGCAGTCATCCGTTTATGGTGGAAGCCGAGACAACCTGCCAATGATGTCGGGCGGTGCGGGCGAGGCGCCACCTCAGCTTCCGCAAATTGATGGCTTGCCGTATGCGGACGGACCGGCTGAGACAGCAGGCGCATTCCCGGCGCAGTCAGGGCGGGAAATTCGCCGACCACAACGGTTGACCGAGACGGACAGGCGCAAGTCGCAAGCCACAATGCTCAACGGTCTGCCACCGCAGCTCCGGGCCAGTGCCTTTTTCGACCTGCCGACGTCTACTACGCCTCATATACAGCTGAAGGATGGGTCTGCCACGGCAACCTTGGAGACCATTCTGGATGCCTCGGCTACAGCGCCCGTCAGCGCCTTTACTGATCACGCCTATGGTGGAAAGCTCGGCCCCGAGGTGTATGGCACAGACAAGAAGAAGATCCAGAAGTCGGTCACCTCTGCGGATATCCCCACAGCTCCCGCCAAGAAGACTCGCAAGAAGCTGATCAAGAGGAACTCGAGCAGTGGCCTGCTCGATGTCAAGGCCAACAAGGATAGTGATGAGGATGAGGGATGGACGAGCGTCGGTCTTGATGCTGATGAGCCTGGATCAAGCCGTCGGCGATCACCCGAGATGGGCCAGGAGGGGGGAGAGGAAGAGGAGGAACTCGTCGATGGAGAGCCTGTGTTTAACGGCCCACCAACGACACTCTTGGCCGAGTTACAGATGCGCAAGCAAAAGGACAAGATGTTGAGGCGTCCCGCAGCAGCGGGCAACCCCTACGGTATGCACGCCACTTTGCTCGAGCTCGATGCCGTTGCTCAGGTGCAACGCAAGCAACGGATTACCAAGCGCGTGAACCTTGCCTGGGAAGATCCCGCCCAGAACCCAACACCGGAGTCTGACGATGAAGACGTCCCTCTTGGCATGCTGTACGCGGCCAAGGCTGCGGGCGTCAAGGATCCTCACACTGCCGACATTGCCGTCCTCATGAGCGAGGTCAACCGCCCCCTGGGCTTGATGGAGCGTCGTGAACTGGAAGAGAACGAGCCGCTCAGCCAGCGCCGACACAGGCTGAAGGGCAGCGAAAGCCTACCATCCATGTCTCTGGACCAGATGCAGAGGCGCATGTCCCACATGACGCTCACTCCCTCCGGAGGTCCCAATGCCCTCGGTAACCGCTCACAGTCGAAACTGACCCTGCCTTTGCCGCGCGGTTTGGCAGGCGGTTCCAACCCAGCCCTCATGGCAGGAGGTCTCGACGCAGAAGGCAGCGACGCCGAAGGCGAAGGTGAGACCCTCGCGGCCCGCAAGGCCCGTCTAACAGCCGAGAACCCTCTCCCGCGCGCTCGTCCTGTCAGCGCCGGCTTCTCTTCCGAACTCCTCAGCGAGTTCGGCGTTACCCCCAACGAGGAGGAGAAGCGTCCGACATCCAAGGACTCCAAGGGCAAAGCACCCGCCTCTGGCGTTCCAGAAGAAGAAGAAACCCTTGGCCAGCGCAGAAAGAGGCTACAAGCCGAGCGCGAGGCTCGCGAGCGGGAAATGGCCGCCGGCGCTCTCCCCGGTAATGCTACCCAAATCGCCACTAACCCCAACATGCTCGCGGCTCCTCCTCAACCGCGTGACCGCCGTGACTCCGCCACCTTGATCCCCTTTGATCCCAACAACGTCAACCCTGGCCCTCCTTCCAGGCGCGTATCTCTCTCCGACGTTCTCAACGCCCACCCCGTCGACAGCACCGGCCTCGGCAACCCCCACATCAGTCCCCTCGAACAAGAACGTCTCCGTCGCGAAGCCGAAGGCCTTCGCCAGCAGCGCGCGCAGGAAGCCAAGATGGCTGCCATCCGCGCGCAGATGCCCCAGACACTTGCTGCACCCGCAATCGGCGCTAGGACAGGCGGATTCATGGGCGGCATCTATAACGGTGGTGGCGCCGGTGCGAACCGGAGCAATCCGGCCCTCGGCCAAGGGCTGGGAATCGGATTTGATCCGAATGCCAATGCGATCCAGCCGAGAGGTCTGTTAGCGCAGCAGCACGAGATGGAGAAGCCGATGGCTAGGAGGGCGAGTACCATGACTGTGGGTGGTGGTGCCGCTGGTGCGCAGTATGGAATGGGCATGGGCATGCCGATGATGGGCGCTGTCTCCAACTACGGTGCGTATGGCGCGCCGATGCAGTTCCAGACGGGACCGGGACAGATGATGAGACCTCAAATGGGAATGATGTATCCGCACCAACAGCAGCAGCAGCAGCTCCCGCAGCAGCCAGGGGGCGTGGATATGGTTGAGAGGTGGAGACAGAGTGTTATGCCTTAAGGGGGTTGATTTTTCTTTTCTTTTCTTTTCATGATCTTGAATACCTTTTTTCAGGATTTGTGATCATCTTTCTGGATAACACTTTACATCACATTACATTACATACATACATAACATCGCATCGCAACGCATCGCATCGCATCGCATCATATATATACTTTGGCGTGTGGGAAGGGAAATACATATGGAAAGACAAAAAACTGTCGTTTCTTGCTTATATGCAATACTCTTTTTATTGTTGCTCTTTACACGCCTTCGCTTCATGGTAGTAAAGATATCTTGAGCTGTCGTTATAACATCATATATCATCATCACATATATAGTATAGTTATAGTTAGTTAAATTTGGTAGTAGTTAAACTCGGTGGTGGTAGTAGGGAGGGGAGAGGAAGAGATGGAAGATAAGAAGAGATGAGAACACAGCGGAAGGATAGTAGTCATTGCATATACACAGAAGGGGAATGTAAGAAGATATACAAGCGAAGAGCAGGCAAGAAACAAGGTGAATTGCAAATATTTGTAAATGCCCTGAGTCAAGACTGAGTGGTGAACTCTCTGTACATACATATGTGTGTGTGTGCGTGGATCAAAGTACTACTACTTCTTCGAAGAAACGAAATATCTACTGTCACTTTCACTTTTACTGGAAGTAACACTTGTTTCCGAGTACGAGCACTATACATAGTAAGAGAATTGTCAAATCTGTTGAACTCCGATCCATCCGTCCATCCATCTATATCTTCCCGACTCATCCATGTCTCCTGATTCATCCAAAAGTAAAGACAGTTATTCACTGGTCTTTACTTCAGTTGATGGATGGATCTATCGATCCATGTGCTAATTTCAGATTGTGAAGTTGCAAAGAAACGGTAACCCATGTTTAGGTCGTAGCGTTTGTTCGTTAGGTTTTACATGTCCGGGAGGTGACTTGGGCAGTGGGCAGGTAGGAAGAAGATTAACAATGCTTAAAGAAATCCAAATCAATAGATGGGTGAAACTGGTCTCGACATGACATTGATTGAGTATATAGCGTGGATGGTTGATAGTGAAGTGTATGATAGTCTGAGGGATGTTGTCCAGTACGCCAGTGTTAAACTATCAAGAGAGAGAGACTTTCAAGAAAAGAATGACAAGAAAGGAAGAACCCCCCTCCCCCTAAGAAGAAGAAAAAAAAGGAAAAAAAAAAAAAAAAAAAAAAAAAGTGCACGAAAATGAGATAGAACGAGTGACTTACAATCACAGGACACAAGTATATGGGCAACATCAACATGTCTATATTTACCGAGTAACTATTTCACCCAAGGTATGTATGTTCAACACCACTACAGTAGTTACTCAAAGTTCCCCCTTTTCTACAACAAAATTACACACAAAAAAAACAGAATGGAAACCAGAAAAAACATGATTATGAACTCCTTAACCCCAAAGGATGCGAAACCTGACGGGATATGTATATGACAAACAACGGCCATGGCCCCACCAGCATTTTACCTTTACTTGACAGCAATACACCCTTCTTTACACCACATCCTCATCCTCATACCGTCCCGTCTTTACTTTCTCTTTGCGAATTTGGATGACGTCTTCTGCACCTTGGCTGGTGGCGCATCATCCTCCTCCTCCTCCTCGTCATCCTCATCCTCATCATCCTCATCACCGCTCTCCTCAACATCATCATGATCAACCTCATCCTCATCCAAGCTCTCCCCATCATCAAACTCCTCATCATCCTCATCATCCTCCTCCTCATCCTCATCACCCTCCTCCTCATCCGACTCGCCATCCGCACCAACATCTATAAGCGCAAAGTCTTCCTCGTTGCCCATCGTACCATTGACAGTACCAGTCTCCTCATCCCCCTCCACATACACCACACCCGGCTCATCAACATCCTCCTCCTCCTCCTCTTCTTCATTTTCTTGATGCTGCTCCTCCTTCGCCGCACCACCCTGCTTCACAAACTTCCTCCACCGCATCTGCTGATCCAGCATATCCAGTTTTCCCTTGAGCGCCAACAACGCAGGCAATCCCCTCGCCCGCTCCTCCAGCACGCGGTTCAGCTCGCCCAGCCGCGCCACCACCTCAGGCTGCGCAACCAAGCTCCCGCCGTGCGCGACGAGGGTGGTCTGGATCCACTTCATCAAGCCAAAAGCGCGACCAGGGCGGCGATGCATGCGGGCCGCGAGCTTGGAGAGCAAGACGCCTGCGAGGGCCGAGTCCATGCGCGTGATGGTGTTGGTGATGATCTTGGGGTCGGACGTCTGCAGGCACGATTCGAGCAGGTCCGAGTCGTCGGTGCGCAGGGCTTGGTTGAGCACGGTGCCGAGGGAGGTGGCGGAGATGGTGGTAGCGGTGCCGTTGGGGCGCTGGACCGTGATGGTGTTGTTTTTGGTAGCGGCGGCGGCAGAAGAAGCTTCTTGTTGGGCGGCGAGAGCGGAGGCGACGTCGATGGTGGCGTTGCCGCGGGCGAGATCGCCGAATGTAGGGGAGGCATCGTCGTCGTCGTCGTTGTCGTTGTTCTCTTGGTCTTGTTGGGCAGTGGGCTCGGTGGTGGTGGTGGTCTGCTTCTTCTCGGGAGCGGCGTCGACGGCCTCCTCCTCATTGTCGCTGTTCACATCTTCTTCATTGTCCGAGCCGCTGTAGTGGCTGGAGGAGTCGCTGGAAATCTCAATGGTTTCTGGGGCGGTGGCCTTGGTGGCAGACTTTGGTGCTGGGCCGGTCGAGACGGCCGTCCTTGTCTCGTCGATCTTGGACTTGGTTGCGACTTTGGCGCTGGGCTTGACTACCGGCTTGGCCAGGGAGAGCGCTTTCCTCTTGGTAGACATGGTGTGTGTGTGTTATTTGGAGGGGATTGGAGGGATACTGAGGTTGTCGTGAGGAAGGAAGGAGAGAGAGAGAGGGTCGAGGATGGTCGCGTGGGGAAGAATCTCTTCCTTTTTCCTTATCGATTTGAAAATTATATGGACCGGGATCTGATAAAGGATATTGATGCTGCTGCCAATTGGTCGGTTGGATTATGATAAACAGGTGAATTGTACCACAGCCAGGGTAATTCTTTATATTCCTTGAATATGCAAGATGCAAAAATGCAAAATATTCGAGTGAAATCGGCGTATTCACTTCAGTTGCGTGCTGGAATTGGCTGCTGGAAAAGCTGTTCCAAAGCTGCTGCAAAAAAATTCTGGATCGCGGCCAAACTTTTTTTCAAGTGGAAGTCGCTGCAGTCCCACTGGGCCCCTGCCACGGTCCCCCACTTTGGGGTACAAGGTACACTGGAGAATTCTTGGCATCTGATGAAGGGCGATGGCCCGTGCTGTATTTAAGCTGTCCCCGTGATCTCTCATGTGACAGCACTGCTTCGACGCACAGTCCATCTGCTGTGGTGAGTCAGGACCTGTGTGGCTGCGTGGCTGTGCGTTTACGGGAGCGGATTCCTGCGTGATTAATTTGCCTTGAGGCTGCACAACACCGCGCGTGAAGCTGATTGCCAGACCAAGAGGGACCCGTCTGTCTTATTGGCCAGTTTCGTTCGTTCAACAGCACAACAGGAAACTTTCCAGTGTCAAACTGAACTCGAACTCGCTGTTGCCTTCCTGTTGCTGCCTGTCGGTCTCATTTTGAACATTCAACACCATTTGCCCTGTTTAATACTACAGCTCTTTACACTTCGACATTTGGCCACTTTCAAACCCCAAAGGATATCGTCGGGACTCACACCCCAACATCGCTATACTTCCATCCGTTTCGACATGTGTCCTTCTGTCGCGGTGTGAGTGAGAGAAATGGAAGGTGAAGGCGAGCCGGGCACGCGACGGGCTGAACAGCAGCTACCCTTGCACCCAAGAGTGGATTATACCGCATCATGGGCTTGGCTTGGAGCCTGATCCTTGTCATTGATGTTGCGACTTTGTTGACTCTCAAGCTTCACTTTGGGAAAAAGAAGAGTCGAGACAACGGAATTTCGACGAACGAAGGGAACGCCTGGAGAATGCCACAGTGGAAAAGCAAGCGCGACATGGCCCAAAACGACAAGGCTCGCTTGTCCAAATAGCAATGCTACCTACCTGCACGTGTAGGTACTACAGTCCGATGGGAAAGGGCTCGGTCGTCGGTCTGATTTCGCACCCCCTCCCACGAACCCACCTTCCGTGTCTTCTTCTGTCTTTCTATTCTCCGCCAAAACAGGAAATATCAAAAGACATTACAAGCGACAAGAGTGGTCTTGGTCCCCTTCATTCTCTTTCTTTGGTCGACTTTCCTCACCTTGAATTTCAACCTCGCTGTGGTCAACAGCGGCTTCATCAGAATCATCCAGCTCGTGTAAGTCGTCGCGTTCTTAAATTCAGTCGTGGCATGCCGTTTGCAGCCAAATTGCAGTCGAGTGCAACAAACGTTTCACATGTCGGCTTGCCCCCGTTACAACATCCAAGGTTCAGTCCCGTCGTTCAAAGAGTCGGCCGTGGTTGCTACCGCAGGCTCCCATTGTCCAGCGAAAAGAAAGATGCCATTTCTCATCCTCCCGCTGCCGTTGCCGTTTGCTTGTTTTGCTTGCTGCAATTTGCTGGGTTCTCTCCGACGACCTTTGAGCTTCGATACGAAACCGAGGCAGGAAGAGGCTGAGTGCTTTGTTCGTTGCTTGTCGACATTTTCTCACTTCTTAGCCATCGATATTTCCTTGACACTCCTTGACATTTTTTTTTTACCCTTTTCGAAGGCATCATGGCGACTGAGGACATCAAACCAGTCGTATCCGGGCTTGTACTTGCACCAATTCAATATCCCCGAACGCGAGTCTGTCCGAGCCCAACAAGTTGTTTGCGCCAGTGCTCTTGGACATTCTTGCATCCAGGATAAATGACCTGAGGAAAGGCGGCGAATCTGGCGAAATCCAAGGTGAAAAGCAAAACAAATGAAGCAACGAAACCGAAGAAGACGAAGACAACTGGCCAATATATGTACGACGGTGAAAAACATCAAAGGCTTCCAAGGTCTTGGTGATACGGACGCTTGTGGTTGCACCTCCAGACTCCAGTGTCCCTGGTGTCGATCGCGCACGGCCCACAATGCGACAGAGTGGCCAACCAGACGCTCCAAAGCCGCCTCCACCGACCAAGGGAACCAGTCAGAAGGCGGAGCCACCCGCAGGGCCTCGTCGCTGCTGGGGAGCTCGGACAGCTTTCATAAATAGCGTCGAGCTGCCGACCGGGACTGACATGTGTTCTCTCACCCCCGAATTTTTGGGAAAAAAAGGGAGACTGCGACGCGCAACACAAACAAGACACCCCCCCTCCCCCCGCTACCGACCATCCGGCCAATCAGCAGCCCCGAACAACACAGAAGCCACGAACCCCCCTCCACTAGTGTAGCTGCTGCTCGACTCTGACGCGACGCCAGCCGCTTTCTCCCCACTCCCCCCCATCCGTCGTTTCTTGTGACTTGTACAAGAGAACCTGCGAACCCTCCGTCCAAAAAGTTCCAACCCTTGACTAAAAAATATCTTTTTTTTGCTGTTGCCCGCCCAACCAGCCAGCCCAGCCCAGCCACATCCAATCAGATCAGCGGTCTGCACCACCCGACTGCACCACTCCAGCCTCCTCCCCCCGACTGTTCTGATTTTACGACGTTTTTCCACCCCCGACATCGTATCGCCCACACATTCGTTGCATTGCAACGCAAGGCTGAAGGCCCACACCGAACTTTGATCAGTTCAGCCTGGACCCCCCCCTGGCCCGCGCAACTTCGCAAACTTGTGAGTGGTGGCAACGTTTTTTATTTTTTTTATTTTCTTTCCCCCCCTTCTTTTCCGATTTTCTTTTCCCCTCATCCCCCGACCTGATCCGACCCGACCGACGCGTGTGCACGTACCACCACTCGCGCCTCTCGCAACCCCAACCCTCGCGCAATTGCCGACTTTCGAGTACTCCCACTCCACCTCAATCGTCGTCGTCGCGCGCGCGCATCGCATCGCAATCGCAAACGCCACTATTCGCAGTCGCTTCCAGGTCGCAATTGCCTACACTTGCGGCGGTTTAACCAACCAGCTACTAGCTGTTGTCGTCGTCGCACACAACACAACACAACACAACACAACACAACACACTGCACCCACACACAGACACACTTTGCACTCGTGCGATAGCACACACCACAACATCATCCATTTGATAAAACTTATATACCAACTCAGGCTATCATCGAATCAACTACTTTTGCATCGTGTGCACGTCGTTTCGCTGACACGGTTTCTTCAGTTGTTTTGATGCCCCAGATCATTGCTTAGATACCCAATCCCCCCCCATTCAGTTGCGCGCACACACACACAGACTCAGACAATATCCACGTGGATAGCCTTTCATCTCGTCTTCTAGCCTTTCCTCAATCTTACTGTATGGCAGTTATGACAAGTCAACAAGCTGACGGCGGCGCGGCTCTGCCCGAGAAGCCCGTCACCATGGCTACTGAGGCGCCTACCGCCGCTCCAGATGCGCCAGTGGCAGATGCACCCAAGAGTGATGCTGCTGCTGCTACTGCTACTGCTGCTGCTGATGCTACTGGTGATGCGGCACCAACCCCTGATGCGCCAGTGAAGGATGTTGCAGATGGTGATTACCAAAAAGAAACAGAAGTGAATGGGTGAGTTACCTTACCAGTTACCTTACCAATCTTGTCCCTCAGATTACCTTCACCTGAAGATGACGCATTCACTTGCGCCGCCTCGCCACCCAGACCTTTTGCTCACCAACCCCTCTAATACCTGAACCTATGAACGCTAATATCTCCCCACAGTCACGACGACGCCGTCTCCCCTAAAGCTCTTGTGCCAGAAACCAAAACCGATAGTCTTCCTACTCCTAAAAACGAACCTTCGTTGGAAGAAGCACAGACCACACCAGCCAAGAAGGAAGAAGACGCCCCCAAAGCGGAAGAGTCGAAGGAAGGTGAGCGGAAGAGTGACGAGCAGGCTCAAAAAGAGGACGCAAAGCCCGCTCCAGTAGAAGAAGAAAAGAAGGCCGAGGAACCAGCAAAGGAGGAGGAGGGGCCTAAGGACGAGGGCGACAAGATGGAGATCGATGCGCCAGAGGTACCGGCGGGCGATGCGCAAAAGGAGCCCGTCGCATCGCCTGGGGAGGACAAGGTTCCTGAACCGGCCGCCGAAGAAAAGCCCAAGGAAGAAGAGAAGCCTGCCGCTGCCGAGGAGGCCAAGGAGGACAAGCCGGCCGAACCAAAAGCTGACGTAGCCACGGAAGCAAAATCTGAAGCGAAATCGGATGACGGACCCGCAGCAAAGGAAAAGGAAGAGGCTGCTGCTCCTGCCGCAACTGAGACCCCCGCCACTGAGACCCCCGCCGCCGAGACCGCATCAAAACCTCCCGCCTCTCCTGCGAAACAACAGGAGGACGTGGAGATGGCTGATGCACCTGCCACCGTCGAGGAGCCCGCCAAATCAGAACAGGCAAAGCCCGCTGAGGCGACGCCCACAGCAACCCAACAGGAGACACAAGACACTGCTGTCAGTGACGTACCGCCCCCCACGCCCGCTGAAGACGAGAAGAAGGAGAAAGACGCGCCTCGACCATCCCCGGCCGCCCCGGTCACCGCAGACACCAGCATGTCGGATGCGCCCCCGCCGTCGTCCAAGCCCTATAGAGAACGCGAGGAAGACAGCGAAGATGAGCCTGTCGCCAAACGCGCAAAGGTGTCCCCTATCGCAGATCAGGCCAACGCTAAGAACGAGGCCAAAAGGGAGGACAAGATGGACGTCGACAGTAAGCCTGCCGCGTCATCTGCATCTACCTCGGTCCACGATAGGAGCGAACCCAAGTCGCTTGCGGATGACTCGCTCAACCACTTGCCCATCTCGGACTACATGAATCGCCAGATCCGTCAGGTGCTGGCTGGCGTCAAAAAGACCAAAG